TGTTCAGTCTCAGGTTTGGTGGGCTTCCCGTAGTGCAGCAACTTGGAGATCTGGACAGGCCTTGTGCAGAGTTCAGAATAAGGATTGGGTTGGTACACTAAAATTAATGAGGCAGTCCTCATCACTGAGAGATTCACTTTGGCCAGCCACAGATGCACTAGGAACTAGTACTTGCAACGCACAAAGCTTGCAATGCAATGTAAGGCATCTGAATGATGCTGAACGTTTGTGCATGCTAAGACCCCTCACCCTAGGAGATGGGAGATACAATGGCCAAGTTTAGTCTAACTCTTTCTTAGCTAAAGCTTTGCTAAATTGAAATGTTACTTCTTTGCCAGAAAAACAGCAGTAGTGAAGGTTGTCTCATTACATGGAAAAGTCAGTGGTAAGGGTTATCTAAGGCATTTTAATTAGATGAGAACCATGGTCACTATTATCTGTCTCCATTTGATCACTTTACAGCTGAAACTTCCCAGAGAAATCAGTAGTATTTCGACCTTAAACCAGAGGAACTCTAGTAGTTTTTATCCAAGCTCTAGGGACGATCTGGCACAGGTTAAAACACCAGAGAGATGGATTAGTTGGTGTGATAGAGGAGAAAATTGGGAAACAGCGAGGCCTATGTCAAGGAAAATTTGGAGGCTAGTATTTCCAAGGAAACCAACTCCCACAGCAGAAGAAGCAGCAGGACTGAAACTGCCAGCAGTGAATATCTCTCCTTGCAAACTGATTTCCCAAATCAATGTGATCTAATTTCTTGGTGATCTCTGTCAGAAAGCACACTGTTACCTTTAAAGTAGGTTTTCAGTCAGTGGCTGGTAAGGGTTTGAACCTACACTGATACGGTTAAATAACTGGTCCTAACATTTTGCAGTGAATAACTAGAGAGAAACTATGGCAGAGGATCAAATTCTGAGCTCTTAGAAACCAGCAGAAGTCACAGTGCAATTCACATATGTGTCTATTACAGGTATAAAATATCCATGTTGATAATGTCACACAAATCCAGTTGTTCTGCACTGAAGTCTCCTGTGGTTTATGAATGCATAGAGAAAAATTCATATATGCCACATGCTGTAAGACATGTGAAAATATTACAGGTAGTAATAATTTTCTGTAGCACTTCAGGGCTTAGTAACAGATCTGGTTAAAAGCGCTTGTAGCTCACTAACAATGAGCAGAAAAAAAGGAAAGGGAAAACCCACAAGCCATAAAGCCCCAAACCCAAATACAGACCCTTTGTATTAATGGCTTGGGAAAAGAAATTACAACATACTAGGTCTGTGGTGAAGAAAGTTTACTATAAAGTGAATAGATTTAAGATGTACTCCAGTAGTGGATAAAACTAAGTATAGAAACAATAATAATACAGAAAAGCAGTTAAGTCCTATGCTAGTATTTATATAAGGCTTTAAGGAGGGATTGAGACTGGAATTTGCTTGTGTTCTTTCCCTCACATGGAAGAGCTTCTGCCTAAGAGCTCATCTCAGTCTCCCCTGTTCTGGCTGGTTAAAGCCATTCCCCTTGTCCTGTCCCTGCAGGCCCTTGTCCAAAGCCCCTCTCCAGGTTTCCTGGAGCCCCTTTAGGCACTGGAGCTGCTCTGAGGTCTCTCCTTAAGGAGCCTTCTCTTCTCCAGGCTGAACCAGCCGAGCTCTCTCAGCCTGGCTCCATAGGAGATGTTACTGGAGATCCTCAATTCCTCATACAGCTCATGCTTTCTTTTCTAGATTTTTACAGATTTTATAAAGTAATTCATTGACATTTTAATGCAAATTAAATCATAAAATGCTAAACTCTGCAAGATGACAGTGGCACAGTTGTGATCTTTTTACATTGAGCTTCATTGGCCTATGTTTTCCGAAGAAAAAGGGAATAATTGGACAACCCCTCATGTAATTTCTTATTTCAGATAAATAGCTGATGCTCTACACCATCTTCAGTGTCTTTAATAAAAGGAAGTTGTGTATTCTGCAATACCAGAGACCATTCTCCATCTAATACAAGCATTACCTTTATGCTTACACTAATAAAAATGATCTAGACCTTCCTAAGGCTTGCAGCTTTTAAGTAGTTGTAATTTGAAGCTTCAGGATTTACTTTCTTTACTGACCTTAGGTTTGGTAGGTGTGCTCCAGTGTGGGCATGGTTGGGCTTAGTTGTCTGTACTGCTGCTAGGAGGATGACTGAAGCAAGAGCAACATTTCCTATTGCATAATTTCATGCAACACTCAAATAATTCATCTGTAATCAAAGCCCTTAATGAATGCTCTGTAATGAACTGATCATCTTTCATCTCAGTTGAAGGTTTCTGATATTACCTAGGCTTGAAATAAAACTCTCTGAAGTAAAAATCAGCTTTTACCTCTCTATTGTGGTCAGTGAGCCCATGTAGATTACTTTTAGGGTTGTTTTGGGAAAGTCCACGTTGGTGTTATCAGACACACTACCTAGACTGAAGAAAACCAGCCAGACTGCAGTACCAACAAGTTCTGGATTTATCAGAGTATCTGATGTTTGCTGCAAGTATCTGCACCAGGACCACTGAGAGTCTTAGCTCCCAGTTCCCAAACGAGTACAACTTTTAGTCTGATGGTTGTGCAAAATCCCTCAAAAATTGTTTTACAGCAACCAGAAGTCAAACAGAGCAAGAAGAGCGTGGTTAGAACAGAAGGACAAATAAACTAAAATCATCCTGGAAGGTAGGGAGGGAATGGCACATGGTGGTTTTTATATGGGCATTCGCATTTTATAGGTTTTATAATTGCAAGTTGGCTGGTATTAGAAAATGAAGGAACTGGTTGGATTTAAGGGAATTCAGAGGAGCTGGCAGCAGGGATGCATCTGTAGCTGGCCTTAGAGAAGTGTCTACCCAAGACGCACAGTCTGTTGTCCAGGGAGAGAAGAGACCCTTTCAGAAGGTTGATTCAGCTTTTTAGGTGCCTGGAATCACCCACTCCAGGTGAATTCCTCTGTCCATTTACCAAACCGGAGTGCTGTAAGCATAAGGCTCCTATCTGAGCTGCCTAAAATCACACACAATGAATTCCCTCCTGTATATATAGAGAGAGGTAAAGCCTTCAGATTTCATTTGATGCAGCAATTCCAGCAAAGACAGTATTCACCTCTATCAGACAATTTATGTATGTGTTTTTCTGTAAAACAGTGACCAGACTGCTCATACTGTGACAGGACATTGTGTTCTGCTGAAATCATCTTCTCCCTTTGGGTGAGTGATTTAACCAGCTTCCTTTTGCCTGCTTTTAATGACTACCTCAGAATTTAGAGGAGCCCCAGTGCTATTTTGGAGATTTCACTGATTTCACTGACATGATTGCTATACCTTCTCACTGAAGAAAGCTAGTTCTTGCACAGGTGGCTGTAAATGGGAGGCTTCCCTTTCCAACACAAGCTTGAATTGTTGGTGTATCTCAGAGTATGGAGATGCCCTGCCTGTAATAGTTCACGTATTTGCATAGCATAACAGAATGATTCAAGCTATTCTCACCCAACTGTGAATGCTGTTTCTTAACATTAATGTCCACTGTCAGGATCACAGAATCATAGGATCAGCGTGGTTGGAAAAGACCCTTAACATCACCAAGTCCAACTGAAAAGGCTACAGGGACTCTTTTAAGGAAAAAGTCTGGTTCTGTTATAGAAGAATAAAAGATGATTTGAAAATCCTAAGGTAATTGGCCTGGATGACACTCTGCACCCTAACTGAAACCAAAGGAGCTATTTTGTATTTTTTATATGTAGATTATATATTTATATAATTTATTTATATTTTGTTTATATAGTCTATGATTCTGTGATTTTCTTTATGCCACCTGAAACTCTGTTCAAAATCTTTCGTAAGTGACAGTGGCACCTTAAACTTACTGTAATTGATGGTCCAGCAAAAACCAGACTAAGCAACATCAGGAAGGGAACAGACTCTTGTGTAGGTTCAATGTATGGCATACTCAGACTCTTGTCATAGCAATTAAATCCAGCGTGAACTGGCTTGAAGACATCAGTAAGTTCAAGGAAGTAGAGGCTAACAACAGAGGATGCCAATATGGGTAACTGCAAGAGAAGAAAGCAACAAATTACTGTTTGCAAATGGAACAGCAATGCTTTTGCAAAGACAACATAGCTTGTTAATAAGTCTCTGTAATGTTTGCTATTTACATCTCACTGCTCCCTGTCATATGCATTTTGCCATCTTTAAGTAATGAATTCTCTAGAGATACGATACTGTTCAGCTGATGGCGAATAACCCTGTTGTCTACCAGGCTACTCAAAACACCCAGTCCAACCTTCAGCTCACGTAATTTGGACTTTTCATCTATGAAACATTAATAGACAAACTTCCATTTTATTTAATTGGGTTTTTTTCTTCAAAAGGGATGCTGTGTCCCATGTGAGGCTTCAGTGTGCTGCTGTTATCAGCACCCTTTTTGGTGCTTTAGCAACTCTGTCATGCATATGACAGTGCTTATATCAAAGCCAGTTTGCGTTACATTTCAAAGTAATGAAATACTGTATCCAGTGCTTCCCTGGAATCTAAATACGTGCTAATACAGTGTTTTGCCTTTGCACATTCATTGTGTAATTCTATCAAAAAAGCAATTAACTTTGGCAAGATGTGGTCTGTTTAGAACCATAATGACTCTGGTTCACAAGTCTTTTATCCTCCAGCTCTTTAGTGATTTTACTCCTCGCAATTACTGGCAGTAATTTATGAAGAGGGAAGCTGGCCCCTCTGGGGGTGAATTCCACCAGCTCCTGAAAGCACAGATTGAACCACGAGGCCTCTGTGGAAGGCATTGTTTGAGAGAAGAAGTAGCAAAAAGGCATTTTGAAGCCATTGGTTTCTAAGTGAGCAGAGCATGGGGGCACTCAGAGGTGACCAGCAGCATGTGATTGTTCTGTGTATCCTACTTGTAAGTGCTCAGAAACTGGTTTTGTTTGTCATTTCCTAGAGTCCTCACTGAATACCACTAGAACAACTGCCTGCTCCTCCATTGAGATGCAATGGTTCCTTCCCTGTGACTCTACTGCAATGGATAATATAATGTGACTGCCTATCTGCTTCCTATTCTTTCTGAGTTGGCTATGACATTAACTTCTCCTCGCTGTTAGCTGCAGCTGAAAAGCAAAAGCTTGCAACTACTAAATAGACTCATTTAGGTAAAAGCATAAAAATCTGATAAGGCTCTATCACATCTCTTGAGAAGAAAACTCTTACATCCAGCACCTCACATTATGAGAAATAGGGATTGTCCTAACATCATTTCAGGCATATTTAGATTATAGTATTCTTGCAATGTTTAGTACTCATTTACAAAAGTAATTGATTGATTAAAATCAGTGTCATTCATTTCATTCTACAGTGGAATAAAAACGCAGAGGTAAACTGGATAAATACCTATATTGGATAAATGACAGACAAAAACTGCTGTATATGGCAGAGGGACAATGGTTTCTTGCAGTAACTGGTCTTTTTCAGTTTTTCAAACCTTGGGATTTTAAAATTCAGACTTTTTTTTGTGCATAAAGATGTAATTCTGGGTGATAAAAGGAGGGTTCTAGCAAAATGTCACTGAAACATCTTTTACTATAACTTAGTTTTTGTTCCAAAAGAACATCTTACCTCTGATGTCCTGAAGGACAGATTGGAAGAGGGTGAGTTGTGTCTTAATTCTAAGGAAGAATAAAGTGGAGAATGGAAGAATTTTGCCTGTCTGGTTGTCGGTGTGCATGTTGATTGCACTGTCGTGTCACATAGTGTAGAGGCTGTGATGGTGTAGAATGGGAGGGAAGGTGCATTGGCATCCCTAAGTGCTAGGAGCATTACAAAAATAACACCAGGCATCTGGTAAGTTTGCTTCAGTAAGCTGTGTTTGTGTACTTGTATATGTATAAATGGATATCCGCACTCATATACAGTATTACAGACACAGACTGTGCATAGCACATAACATACACAATATGTAATACATATAGTATGAATATATAACTGGGATGTAATCTGACATATCATATGCATGGAATAATTATATACTGTGTAACTAAACTCAGTCATGCTTCCTGTCCATCACAGGGAGAATTGCACCTCTTTAGCTGGTTGCACTAAATAACACTGTTCCTCACTTCCTGCTGTATTGCAGTCCCTGAGTGACTATAAGGCAAGCATGCAAAATTAGTCAACACAGGCTAGACTGTTTCTACTCATTTTACAGATGTGCAGGGATCATAGAATGGTTTGGGTTGGAAAGCACCCATTCAACCTGGCCTTGGATGCTGGGCCAGCCAAGGAGCTGCTGGAGCAACTCCAGAGGAGGCTGCGAGGATGATGAGGGACTGGAGCAGCTCCTGTACGGAGACAGGCTGAGAACATTGGGGCTGTTCAGCCTGGAGAAGAGAAGCTGCGTGGAGACCTCAGAGCAGCTTCCAGTGTCTGAAGGGGGCTTCAAGGATGCTGGAGAGGGACTCTGCATCTGGGGCTGCAGCGATAGGACAAGGGGTGATGGGTTCACACTGAAACAGGGGAAGTTCAGGTTAGATCTAAGGCAGAAGCTCTTCCCTATGAGGGTGCTGAGGCGCTGGCCTCTGGGCTGAGGGTGCCCGGAGAAGCTGGATGGGGCTTGGAGCAACCTCCTCTAGTGGAAGGTGTGGAACTGGATGATCTTAAGGTCCTTTTGAACCCACACCATCCTGTGATTCAATGATTCTTTGATTAAGTAGTTGAAAGTTATACCTAATGACTTAGCCAGGGTGCAGGTCCCATGGGACAAAGCATCTTATAACAGAACACAAACCTATTCCAGTGAGCCAAATGGACACAATAAGCAAAGTGCCTATTGCTCTTCTCAGAAATCATGCCCTTTTATCTAGATGTGTAGATGGTTCATTCTAGAATGGAAACACAGAGCAGGCAGGCTCATGGAGCACCTTGTGCTCCCGAGTTTCATCTTCATTCTGTGTCCTTCTGTTTCTCCAATGTCAAGAAAGGGAGGCCTCTCCTTGAACAACAGGCTCTGCATTGCTCACAGGTCCACCTCTACTTTGATTATGGTATTCTTAAGCAGGCAACTGTTTTAAATGGCAATATTGAACTATTAAAAACAGGCAAAATATGAAGTGCTATTTTATTGTGAGACACTAAAATAAAAGATGTGGATAACTTCTTTTTAAAGTACTGCACTAAGCTGTAATTTTATCATTAATTACAAAATCAGGGAATTATAAGAATTGCATTTTCCTGTCTTCTGACTTCCCTACAGGACTCCCATATTATTTCTGACTGTAATTACCCATTCTGCTAAAAGAAAAGAAATTATTCCTAAGGACTATGAAACGTAACTGTATCTAATACTAATGAATAGGTTTCTAGTCAATTTACTATACATCAGATCCCATGGGATGTTTTTCTTCCCATCTCTTTAAAACTACAGATATAAAATGCTTGCTCTGAAAGTCAAGGCTTCTAAAGAAATAATGTTTCTAAAATCTTCTAAACAGTCTAAGTGGCTATTTAATACATGAATATTTATGGCTTATTCTGCTTGAAGCAGAAGTAGTTCTGTAATTATAGACTTCAGCTCCCAACACCTTGAAAATGTCAAATGTAATTAGATGGTAGAATGTGTATTGTTTTAATTACAAAATGGAATAGGAATTTTCCTGTTCCTAATTAGAATAATAACTCCCCCCCCCCCAACCTCAGTTCATGTATCTTGACTAATAAGTCTTTATATTTTCTTCCTTGTCTGATGGAGAAAGATCCCTGTTTAGCTTGTAGATCAGACCTGTAAATGTAGGGTTTGACCACAGTGATCAAACTTGTTTTGTTTAGAGTCTGAAAGTTAGTACCACAGTCAGCACGGCTGCTGAAAGTGTTTTATTTGGGGTTTTACTTACTTAAAAGAACAAAGTTTTTCTTTGTCCTCCTGTTATTTTCTTAAGCTGGAAGTTAAGGGCCTTTATTAAGCCATAGGACTCCTCTGAACTGGTAACAAATCTTCCTGCTGGCTAACAGCTACCAGACATGTATCACATATTGCAGAGGACTGAAAGAATCAGAGATTCACATTACCCCTTGTCCTAGCCTAAACAAGAAGAGATTGGTAAAAAAGAAGAGACGGCTGTGAGAGGAGGTCAGAAGTGGGATGTAGCAGTTCTTCAGGTTGCCCATCCCTCTCCTGTGGGCCATGCAGTGATTGCTCCTCATGCAGTTTCAGGGTGCTCCTGATTTACTTGTGAGGATTAAGATTATCCAGGACCCACAGTGCCAGCGCAATTTGTTACTGGTTATATGATACAGCGTGTGCATGGGAGCCCCACTGGTCCTGCCCAAAACCCAGTTGCTATGCCTTAACCACCAAACTTGCTGGAGCACCCCTGGGTAGATGGAAACGCTTCTGTTAAACTTCCCTATGTTTAGTTTTCCATGGCTTTGAGTGTATGGAAAGAGGAGCCTGTAGAGCTGTAGTCCACTAAATACAGTATTGTCATTGCTACTAACTCAGTACTGAGTTTGTAAAGACTCAGGACTGGGGCTTCTCAAACGTGTTTTGTCTGTATTTGTCTTGACCTGCCTGGAGCTTTGTTTTGATTTGTTTTAATTGTAACAGCAGTTTTCCCAGGCACGTTAGAAATCAGGCAATGCGAAATTTGTTTTACTTTCACGTTATCTGTGTATAGTATAGCTCTGCATGGATTTTGTATCTAGATCTAGTAGTACAAGTAGTTATTCTGTATAAAATGAGCTATTTATGACTCTAGTGTATCACAACTCAGATCCTTTGTCAGGAGCAGTATGATGATGATGGTGATTCTTCCTCACCCTAGGAAGCACTTGGGTTCATTTTTACATTTGCTAATGTGCTTTTAACACCTTGCTCTTTATCTTTTGGTCTTTCCCTTCATGTTACATCCCAGTTTACTCTATGTGGCATGGTTGACACATGCTGGATGATGTTCTTTGTGCTCTTTGTTACCCCTAAGCCCAGTTTTGCCAGCTGCAGTTCTGTATTTCTTTATGTGACCATTGAGTGAGTTGTTTGTAGCGTTGAGGTCTCCAGTACCAGCATATGCCCCATCTCTTCTCCTACATCTGCAAGTCCTCCACATTGCACCCTCTAAGGCAGGAATGTAGGTCTGGCATGATAGCAGAGGTTCTTGCAACTGGGGCAGTGGAAGGCCAAGCCTTAGCAGGAAAATCTCACTGGAGTGGATGAATAAAGAGCACAAGTTTGTCCTTTGGATAGCTGAGCATCTGGGTCGCTGACTTTTGTCTCCTGCCTTCCATCAAGCACAAAACCCGTTCTTCTGAAGGAAACATTGAACTGCTTGCTCTTGAGTTAATGTGTAGGACCTTTAACTTTTCTATTCCACAGGGTCTCTGCAGAGCCCTATATGTCTAATTCAGGGTGCTCCCTCCCCTTGGAGAATTTCCAAATCATCAAAGCTTCACTAAAACCACTTTCTCTCTGCAGGCGTCACAGCCAACTCAATGGCAGTCAGATATTGATGGGTTCTAAATGACACCATGGAGACAGCGAGGCTCAAACCAAAGAAAGGTAACAAGAACGCACACACACTCTGCAGTTCCTATCTTCCCTTGAAAGGAGATGCAATTGGATTGCATACATAATTCAGAACTCTCTGGGAATCAGTAGCTGCTGCAAATTCCCTTTCTCTAAAGCTGTACATTGGTAGTTATCTATCCAACTCCTATATCTGCCAGTATTTAACTAAGTAAAGGGCCCCTATTTATCTTCACAAGAATAGCATCTTAAAATCCATGGGCTTTGCACATACTTAAACATCTGAACCTGCTTCTTAGGTAGCAGTTCTGTGACCTGTCTTTGCTTTGTTAGAATGCACTACAAGCCTTATCTCTTATCATGAACTCATAGGCACATCCTGTGGTGGTGGTGGTGTATTGGGCTGTGTTGGTGGCTACTGGCAGACTCCAGTAAACTCTTTAAACATGAGCTACAACAGTGATTAGTCTGAGCTATATTTCAGTCCATCTAAATGTGTGTGCATGGGGGAATGAAATGCCTCTCTTGTAATTATAGTGGAATATTGAAGTCCCTGCTCAGTGAGCTGGCTAGAATGACTTCTTTTCCTTGAGACTGGATGCAAATATAAAGGATGTGGAATTGTTTTGTGGGTTAATTTTGCCTATATAAAAGATAGGTAGAAAACAGAGAAGCCATATGCATATAGCTTTCAGAGGAAGCCAAGGCATGATTAGTCAGATGAGGAATAAGGCTAGTATGACTAGCCCACATGTCAGAAATGGTTAAGGAATGCCTGATACACTATTGGGATCTTTCATATGCTGTAAATAATTAACTAGCCAGGAAATTCTCAGATCCTTAGGTCTTTCTGCAGCCTTTCCATAGCACTGAGGAGTTCCCGAGCATGGGGCCTGCCTCCTGGTGTTTCTCTTGTTTACTGGGAATCTTTGTAAGCAACCAAGTAAACAAACAGGATTGCTTCAAAGAGGTGTCTAATGAATGCCTGCGCTTTCTCCTCATGGGAAAAATACCATCCAAGTGCTTGGGAGAAGGATGGTCTATTTAATGACAGCACTGTGTTCACACTGCAAGGCTGTGGCATCATGGAAGATGCTGTTAAAATATATCAGAAATGCCAGTCTTTGTGCCAGAGAATTCATGGGCTAAATGACAAGGCACAACAGATGGATGAGCCAAAAAAGAGAGCTGTGGTGGGCTGGAGGAGACAAGGTATTCTTAGCCAACTACCAGCAGTGATTGCAGCTTTCACCCACCATGGATCTTGTCCTGTTGTGTTGTGCTGTGCTGGGAGTGTCCCTAATTCTGCCAGTTTCTCTTGTTGTTTAGAATCCATGGCTCCTGCTGAGCTCCACCAGTGCTGTACCTTTACCCTCAGCGAGGCTGCTGTGCAGGGCTGGGGCTACCCCCAAGCTCAAATGCATTGCACACTGGGCCGTCATAAGGACTCTTGAGGGATGGTGCTAAGCACAGGATGGCTGTAGACTCACTTGGCCTAAATATCAGCTTTGTAGATTATTTTATGTTCTAAAGTTAATTCTTCACTGCACAAGGCTTATAAGAGAAGGAATTCAAGCTTTTCAGAACTCTGAGATCGGCATCTATAGAAAGACTTTTTGCTTTTCTCTCTGCACTCGAGTTTCTGCTGCTTCTTGTCCTTTTTCTGGATGCAGGTTTCACCTGGCCCAAAGCTGTAAGGAACTGATCTTTTCGTTGAAGGATTTTTACCTCACCATTGTCTAAGCTTTGTGGAAATTAGTTGTAGAGCCGTGATATGAGGGTCTTTCCTCTCCTAGATTTAACACTATAGGATTTAATTTCAACTTGGATTCATTTCAAACCCCAGCTGTCACTGAAATCTATTATTGTTGCCATTTGGGAAAATTGAGTTATCCTTACTTCCAGCATTGATTTCAGAGTTTAATTCAATTGTTTGGTGACTGTCAATTAGAGTCTAGCTTTAAAAATATATCATATATCATCATGCAGCTCCTCAAACCTCTTGATCTTTTGCCAAATGCTAATAGGAAACCTTTCACAAAACAATCCCAGCCTGGTTTGATTTCGAAAGGACCTTAAAGCTCATTCAGCTCCAACCCCCTGCCATGGGCAGGGACACCTCACACTAGAGCAGGTTGCTCCAAGCCCCTGTGTCCAACCTGGCCTTGAACACTGCCAGGGATGGGGCAGCCACAGCTTCTCTGGGCACCCTGTGCCAGCGCCTCAGCACCCTCACAGGGAAGAACTTCTGCTGATGATAAAGCTGATGATACATCATTGATAAAATTCCTATTTATGTCAGAAATCTCAGTGCACAGTAACCCTGAAAGTGCTGGTTTCACAGGGAGAAACCAGCAAAATGAAAGTGTTTAATTCTCAGGTAGGAACAACCTAAAACTACCTTAAAAAAATTCTATTGAATTAAGTGGATGTTCATTAAAGAGGATGCAAATCCCTAGGCAAAAGTTTCATAACACAAAAAATACTATGAATGCATTTCTTTTCAGTGTGACTTTAAACATAATTGATGATTCCTTATATTATTATTACAGTTATATGATTACATTGTGATATAATATGATTTAATATTAATCAATATTTAATTAATATTGATTTATTAAATCAATGATTAGTTATAATCAACAAACACCTCCAAACAATTAGATTTGGGATATTGCATTTACTGTTGATGATGAAACTTATTTTATGCTCCTGGTGCTGGGTTGTGGTAAATCACAAGTTTTAAAGGCAGCACTTCAGAAAAAGGCGTTTTGTTTTGGGTCAGAGTATTCCCAAAGTTCAGCTCGAAGCTTCCTCAAACTCTCTATGGGACAAAGCTGCCCATCCCTACACAACACTGCAATTTATTGTACTCCATGTGTACAAAAGGGTGCCAGCCTTTCCCCGTGGTTACTCCCGCGCTGAGCACCCTTCCTACCAGCTGAGCTTTCAAGTGATGGGATCATCAGCAGGATACACTGTTTGTACCAGCTCAGCTCCTGTGGTAGCTCAGGGTTCATAATAAGCTCTTCTTTATTCATTTTGGCTGATGACACAGAGCTACTACATGCTGCTACATGCAACTACATGCTGCTATATGCCACATGCCACAATATGCATGCCTGCAGGACAGTGTCTTGGGGTAGCCACATGCGACTACATGCCACATGCTGCTACATGACACACACAGCCACACACAACTACATGCTGCTACACACAGCTACCTGCAGCTACACGCCACTACACGCTACATGGCACTACATGGTACATGCCACAAACCACTGCACGCCACATGCCACTGCATGCATGCCTGCAGGACTGTGTCTTGGGGTAGCCACACAGCACTATATGCCACATGCCACACACAATTACATGTTGCATACAGCTACACATGTGCTATGCACTGCCTCATGCCACTACACACCACAAACCAGTACACGCCACACGTTGCTATGCGCCACACGCCACTACAACCTACATGCCACTACATGCCACACGCTGCTATACGCTATTACACACTGCTACATGCAACTACACACTGCTACATGTAGCTACATGCCACATGCCACTCCATACCACATGTCACTACATGCATGCCTGCAGGACTGTGTCCTGGGGTAGCCACAAGCCACTACACGCTACATGCCACTAAATGCCACACGCAGCTTTTACTGCTGGGGCACTAGGTCAGGAGAATGGTGCAGGACTGAAAAGGGAGCAGGGCCTTGTTTCCCCATGAACTACTCAAACTCTACAGTGACCAAGCAAGTAGCCAAAACCAGAGGGAGATCTAACCTGTGGCACTTGCACTTTAAATCCCAGGGCAGCCTTTGCACAGGCCTGACACCCCCCTTTTAGCAGAAGATGGCCCTTTTCTGGTCATCTTCTGCTAAGACCTGAAACTATGCAGGCTGTACAGCTCTTCTGTAAGCACAGAAGTGATGTGCAGCATGTAGCGTCACTGATTCCAACAATGAATTACAGAGCTGCTTTGAATGCGTAGGAGCATCCTCAGGCCTCAGACAGCCCCTTAATATCTGGGGGATGCTGGTGCCTAATGCAGTGTTCTAACCAAGTGTGACATCAGTCCTCCGTGAGTCAGCCACACGACAAGGGCAGCTCAATGAGCAGACTGCTAAGTGTGGTTCTTCTCCTTCCCCTCACACATGGTTGGCTCCTTTGAGAGAAAAAGTAGTGTAGTTGAAAGTATTGTGCTGCTTGCACAGTATGGGTATAATGACAGCTTCTGGGGTTTTCTACTGTTTTTTCCCCCCCCTAAGGCTAATTCAAGCATAACAGAAAATCACTCTAGAGAGAAATGTGGCTACACTGGGTCTCCAACACACAGTGGTACGGTTTCATCCTTACACTAGACCCAAACATACTGTTCTGAGGAAGAAACATTTAGCCTTATAGCCTACTCTCTCTGCACTCAGTTTTCTAATCACTGCACTCCCTTGGCTTTTACCCTGGTGTCTCTCACACCTCTGCATGACTTGCAGGTGACAAAGTGCATAATTTAAATGTGGTAGCTCATGCATGGCTGAATAGCTGGGAAAAAATCCAGATGTGACCAAGAAGTAGCACTGAGCCACCAAGTGATATGTACATACACTTTGTGTTTCAAACCCAGCTCTGTCAGTATATGGTAGAAACAAAACCTAAAGCATCTGGTGCTGAGACACAGTGAACATTCTCCACATGCACTTATTTCAATGGAATCTGATGACTTCCTGTGTTTTGCAGCCTGCAGTCCTACAGTCATAACAGATCTTTGTGCTTTCTGCTGGTGAGGATTCCAGCTCCCTTGGGGAACAAGAAAAAGAAGTGGTCTTCCAGTACTGAAAGAAGCATTCCCAAACAATCCTACCATGGTTAACTCCTGGCTCTGCTCTGGAAAATGAAGGAAAAGAAGCAATCTGTATCTGTATGCATGCATCATATACAAGAGTCTAGCAGGCAACGTAAGGAAAACATTTAACTATACAAAGGATGTTGTTTTCATCGTCCAAAATATCTCTGATTTTAATGTCTCACCATCTGAAATGTCTCTGATTTTAGTATCTCACTGTTTGAAAGGTCTCTGATTTTAGCTGCTGGAAGTTAAGCAACCAACAGATGAAGGCTGTGCCACAGGAACACAATTTAGCTGTAGAGTAAGTGCATCAAGTTACTCAGGTTGACAACACCTTGGCCTTTTGCATTCCCACATTAATGGATGAAGCAATAGTGGCACTGAGGTCAAAGGCAAAATTCATAGCGACTTCTGTGAAACCAGCCTTTAAACTGGGAGGTTTGGAAGTGGGTGAAGACAGTCTTTTTCCTTCACCAAGAAGCAATGTGTCTGTCTGTGCTGCCTCTAAACTCTGACCATTCTGCCAGGAATAGAAACTACATAAGCCGGGAAGTTTTCCAGATTTCATATTAACCCACTGCCATATTTCTTCTGCAAGTGACTATCATTATGATACAGCCTGAATATGCTGAAAGTCAGTTAGCAAAAAGCAAAATGTATTCCAGGAACGCTCACTTTCAGTATCCCCCAGAGGTACGTAGACTTTTTACTATGAAAATTAATTCCTTCTTGACCTATGAATTTGCATTGGCAAGTTTTGTCTTTCTCAGGTGTGCAGATGAAGCTCAGATAACCCATTCAGGCTATGGAACCCTCAGATGCCACCAGTATGATTAGGAATAAAACAGGCCAAACTGCCTGGCAGTGCTGATTACCATGTGCTTCAGGTAAACGTGATGAGCAAGGCAATCTAAACCTCTCCATCTCGCAGGGGTGTGTGCTGATCAGAGGCTCTGCTAAGCAGAACTCTCACCAGTATCTTAAAAAAACCTCTAAAACATTCTTCTGAGACATAGCATACATCATCATGTTATTTTATGAATCACAAAACTGGAAAATATGTAACTGAAACTGTTAAGATTTGCTTTGTAATGGTCATTGGTTTGCCCCTGTTTAGAGAATGACCCATCCACTTCCTTCAGAAGCACCATCTCTTCATTTCAATTCCTTTTCATTTCTATGTCTCCCAAAGCTTTAGCCTGGTTCTCCTTTTGCCGTTCCTGAGTAAATGAAGAATAGCTGTAGTGATACCACTCATCTGCAGAGGGGCATCTTGCTTTCATGCTTTAACTCTGGCATTGCTCAAATCTGCTACTTTGAATTACTCTGAATTGCACTGAAACCAGAATCAGGCCCAGTGTTTCTTGTGCAGTGACCTGCATGCATTCTGTGTGACCAGGTTTCATGCAGTCCTGAAAGCTGCTGCCACCAAACACATGTGTTGGCAGGAGTCAGTCTCATTCATAACAGGAACTCTTAAGGTTCTTCATAGCAGAAAATCCTCAGTGTCGGAACTGTATTTGCTGCTATTTCTAAAGATAAAGTCGTTCTGAGCAGAGAATCTCTCTTCATTTGTTCTGCACGCTCGAATTATAGTAGGTATTACAGTATACAGTATATATAGTATCGCCTTTTCACTGTGTATTTCATTTGTGTGATACAAACCCATCCCTTTACTGCCACTTTGGAATTTTGACTTCCTCCCTGACCTACTATTGTTTTTCCACGTCTTCCCTGTCTAGAGAGAAAAAACAGCACTTTTAGGTGATGCAATTCCTAAACAATCTGCTCTTCCTTTGGCCTACACCTCCCATGTCTTGATGCAAAGTGGATGACAGCAAACCCCAGTTTTCTTGGTAAGCAACGTGCTATGGATATGGTATTTTTTCTGCAATTTAGGATGGGGAGGGACTGTCTGCTGGGAATGGGACAGGGAAAATTAAAGTAAATGAGTGGCAGAAATAAACAGGTTGGAATCCTGTTTCCCATCATCCATTCAACCACCATTCATGAAAGTAATAGCTTTAAAATTCAGAGAGCCTTAGTTAAATTGGATGAGTTTTGTTTTTAAATAGTTGGCTGTTGTTGAGTTGCATTAAGAACTTCCCTCCTGCTTACAAACAAAATCCATATCACATAATGATGCCAGTCAACCACACTGGGCAACTCCTCTATCCTTTATACTTGCAACCTTCTCATTGCAACTAAACTATATTGGATTAACTCCTCTTTATGAGGTACAACTCAATCTTTGGTTCTCCTTAAGCCAGGCACAATGGAAGAATCTAAACCATCAGGTCCTTTTTCGGTTGCTGTTGAAGTGCTGTGGCTGTGCTACAAAGCTCGAGAAAGGCATTCTCAGTAGTCTGAATAGAATTAGGGCACATGTGGGTAACTGCAGGGTGGGTGGACACAAGTAACACATGCTAAGGGTTTCTTTCTAAATACCATATGATTTGTTGTCAGTCTTTCCCTCAGGTGATTTCAGTGCTCAGCTAAAATATGGGAAATGGTTTCAAATCCTCCTGCTGGGTAATGGGAGAGCTGAGAGCTCACCAAAGGGATTCTTAATCAATGTTTAGGCTCTCGTGCATTGCAGTCAGTCTTTTCTCTTGATATTGCTTTTCCTTGTACTGAATATCTACAGGTTCATCAGGTCAAAGGGAGCCATAGATCTGTAGTTCAATAATGAGAACTCACTCATTAGGGCCCACACAGGCTCTAGGCTATGCTCCTGTGATTGAATAACATAGAAGTCCTAAAAGTTGCTTAGGAGACCATTCTGTTAAGAGAGCAGCTGGGTGGTGAAGACATCTTCACCTCCATTTAGATCTAGCTGTAAATGACCTGCTGAAGGTCTTAAATGTCCATGCCAGAAGGAGAGCTTGCCTGCTTCATATGGCAAGACAGAGCTCAGTCAAGGTTCTCCATTGCTTGCAGAATCCTTTGCCTTATTCCTTGTAACAGCTCCAGGGAGCTTCTAGAGGAGCTACAAGTAGGCAGTTAATATTACATCAGGCAACTTTTTTGAGCTCTGTACTTCATCCCATCTTGCCATAGGCCAAGGCACAGTTGTGCCCACCAAAAGGCACAGTTCTGTTGTGTCTTGCAGGATCTCTATATTGTCCATGAATTAAAGTTATCTGCTAGGTGAGGTCCAGCAATCTCCCTTCCTGGTTGGATTCCCAAAGCAACAAAGGGAGCACAGAGAGCGAGGAAACCCCTGTCTTCTTCTAGGGGCTTCTCCAAGCTTAACCTCTCTCTCCTATACAAAGCTAATGTAAGTGTATGGCACAGCAAGTGCCTCCATCAAAGGGCTTTTCAGGAGCAGGCCTAATTCCACAGGTGGGATGTGCCTGATGCTTCCATCTCACCAGCCTCTGCCAAGCTTTCAGGCTGGTGTGGCTTATTTTGGGTTAGCTCCTGACCACCTCCCAGTAGCCGGGGAGTGCAGGGAACAGGGACATTCTGTTATCACCTAAATCCCTTCTCAACCCAACCCCTTCTAGCTCCTAGAGAATCTCCAAAGCCCTGCAAGTGCACGTGAAAGAAAACACTTTTTGTTTTCTATTTTACCCAATGTTTATATGTTAATATTTCCTATGTTAAGAATTATGTGTATATTTATGCTTTTATTTAGTTACCATTGACTTTCGTCTTATTTTGCCATTAAGTTCTTCACATTATTTCCACAGTCTCTCTCCGATGTAAGTTACATGGTGCCTCAAAGAACCTTGGTCACCTCCCTGACACCCTTTGCTCAATCCATAAACCATTTTTACCTCCCTCTTACTGCTGTGCCATTAAACACATCCTCATCACACCAGTTCCCTTAAGCTTAACCTGTGTATGCTCCTGATCTTCCAGAAGCACCAAAGTAACTGCTTTCCAGGAAGCTAGATGTCTCCAAGTGACACACCAAGCAGCTAGTGCCTCTGCAACTCCACCTGCTCCCAGCCAAGCAGCCATAGCAGGGTTTGCCCTGTAAGATGTGCCGAGACCCGCATTCTGTTTCCAGACCAGGCATTTTTAGCTCTGTAGGAGGAAGCACGTAATCCAGGGGTCGGTAAAAGCATCACTGCTGATCACTGTGAGGACGTTTCCCAAGCATTCCCTCATGGATGTGATTTTTATTCTAGCCAAGCGGCGTTCGCCTAGCAGCCAGCCCTTCTTGAACATGTCCTCCTCCTGCAGGGTTCCTCTGCACACAACATGCTTTAGTTGCCCAAATCTTCCCTTTTCCGAGCAATTCCTAGCCAACAATTCCTCGTGACCAGGCTGCAAGAAGACGTTCATTACGCTGCCCCTTCTGGGGGGGCTCTAATTTCGGAACGGCAAAGCATCACGTAGGGATCTGCACCCCGCGGTGCGGCAGCATCCCCCGCGCCCGCGCCACTCACCTCCACGAAGTAGAAGCAGGGCAGGAGCGTGACGCTGTCCTTGGTCACTTTGCCCTTGGGCCGCTCCTTGGCGGACATGCTGCCGGCGCTGCGCCGCCCGCCGCAGCCGCGCTCCGCTCCGCTCCGCCCGCAGCCCTGTGCCCGGCTCCGCACCGGCTGTGAGCGCGTCCCCGCCGCCGAGCGAGCGCGGGGCTGACGTCAGGAGGCTGCGGGCTGCGGGGTCCCGGACGCTTTAACCGCTTCGCAGCCAGGATGCACTGGGGCACAGGGATGCGCTGGGACACGGGAATGTGCTGGGATATAGGGAAGCGCTGGGGCTCAGGGATGTGCTGGGATGCGGGGATGTGCTGGGACACGGGGATGCGCTGGCTGCAGTAGGCGGCTATGCAACCTGTGCCAGCGCCGCAGCACCCTCACAGGGAAGAGCTTCTGCCTTATCTCCATCCTGAACTTCCCCTGTTTCAGTTTGAACCCATCATCCCTTGTCCTGTCGCTACAGTCCCTGATGCAGAGTCCCTCTCCAGCATCCTTGTAGCCCCCCTTCAGACACTGGAAGCTGCTCTGAGATCTCCACGCAGCTTCTCTTCTCCAGGCTGAACAGCCCCAACTTTCTCAGCCTGTCTCCATATGGGGGCTGCTCCAGCCCCTGATCATCCTCATGGTCTCCTCTGGACTTGCTCCAACAGCTCCATGTCCTTCTCATCTCAAGGATGTAGCAGGTCTGCTTTGCACTAGTCTAAAAATGATAGTGATGGCCAAGTCTGGACATGGCTATGGTGCATTTCCCACCTTCTCTCTAGGCTTTCAACTTGTTCTCCGTTGGGACTCAGCTATAGGAGCCACTTTCTCAAATTAAGGAACCAAGATACAGCTAAGGTGCTACTCCATCATTTGTCCTTCGCTGTGCTGCCTGCAGTGCAGTCCTAGCTTCTGCCTTACCTGCCCAAGCTTCAGCGGGTAGCACCTGACATTCTCCATGCAGAGGGTCTGTATCTCACTTGATCTCCTGATATCCAGAGAGGGCTGCACTCATTTGGACCTTTTATCCTGACCTAACATAATGGAGTA